AGAATCTCACATAAAAAGCTTCTTCAAAGTCTGAGAAGCAGAAGGTGATGGAGAATGATTATTTCCCTCGCAGACTTCTCTTCTTCGGGAAAGAACATTTATCTCTTGTACTGTGTCTTACAGAAGTCCTCCTACAAATCATTAGGGATATTTCTTAAAATGGAAACCCCCTTGTTTCCTTTTCAGCACACATGTTCCTGAGAACTTAATATTAATTTTGGCCCTCCTCCAATTTATTATAGATCTACTCAGATTTTGTCTTGTCTTCACTTTACTATGGGTTTCTATTTTAACAAGGATACAGAAACAACTGGAATATAACATTTAAACATGGATAATTACTTTTTTTGTCAAAAAGACAAGAATATATTACAATCTCCTAAACCAAACTGCCAGTTATGAAAAAAAGAATGACTTGGGAGAACAAAATGTGCAAATCTGGGAGCTTATGAGGGACCACAAAATTTATCTTAATTGGAATATCTTCTGATATCAACAAAATGGACTGGTTGAGACAAAAATCAGGCACAGAACAGAACCTACAGATGTTTGGTGAATCTACTAGACTCATCTACAGAAGTGAAGGAATAGATGAGTGAAAAAGTGGGATCCCAATGTTTAAAATAAGGATATTTGGTTAAAGTAATATAACAGAGTACTTCAAGTCATCAAACACACAGATAAAACATAACAAGGAAGAGTATGAAGGCTAAAACAGAAGGAAAAGAAAGGACTTAGACACACAGACACACACTGTATATTTTTATTCTAATAGATGAGAAAAACATCAGGATCATTGACAGCTTTTTTCTGGTCTATATCCACCTAACACATCCTACTGTATTATAACATTTACTTTACTTATGTATGTAATTGATAGTTTCCACTCAAGGTAGTCAAATATTTTTACTATTTTGTTTGTTAATTTATTTACAATAAGTAGAAATACCTGGCATATGTAAGACAATCTATAAATATATGTTGAACTCATTTATGCTCACTATTTCTTTTGGAGGCAAATAGAGCAAAATTTAAAGTCCATAACTAGTTTATAGGATGCATATTGTATGCAAACTAAGAAAAATTATTGCATAGTTTTTTCCACATCCTTTGTAGGGCACATTTTACATCTTTGTTCCTCAAGCTATAGATCAAGGGATTTAACATGGGGATAACGAGGGTGTAAAATATGGAAGCCACTTTATCAGTGTCAAAGGAATGACTGGACTCTGGTTGCACATACATAAAAATCAAAGTCCCGTAGAACACTGTGACCACTGTCAGGTGGGATCCACAGGTAGAAAAAGCTTTCCACCTACCTTCAGCAGAGTTCATCCTGAGAATAGACTCAAGAATGAGCAGGTAAGACACGAGAACTATCAGAAGGGATGAAA